TGCCCCATTGTCATTTTTTGGGCAAACTTAGAAAATTTGACCATATATTATCATTAATTTATAAGAGATAATATAGTCATATGAAATTTTGTTAGTTTTGTCTCATCATACATTTTATTAATATCACATTTTTATAATTTTTACGTGTATGAAATAATAATATAGACGTTTTAGAACGTGTCTTCAATGCCATAAAAAGTCAAATAGGACAGAGAAAGTACTCCGTAATATTTATTGAAGAACATGTCAATTTTCATTATGCAATTTGGAACAATAATTTATAAGGTGACTTCACATTGTGAGATATTTCGAGTATTGGCCTGACAATAATTACGTAGTATAATAGCTTCAGAAGGCTAAACTAAAAACTAATCAAAGACACAGCTGGCCCACTTCCTATGACATTTTCGATGATCCAGGCCTAAGGACCATATTGGTGCCCTTATTCTATTTTGTTGACAAATCAAATGAAACAAATATCATAGACCAATAGTTTTTTTTTTTTTTTTTTTTTTTTTTAACAATTGCATATGAAATTAACAATTATAGTATTTCATGTTTTCTATAAGTTAAAGTAGGGGAAAAAAAATTAAGCGACTTTTTTTTACCACAAATTGAAATGGGGAAGTCATACAATTATCTCCATTGAATTATTTAGTAACATGATGAAGCCTTGTTGCAATAGATCATAAGAGGACATTTTGTACAGTTATAATCTTCCCAATCAGACGGAAAATTGAAAATGAAATAAATCATGTTCTTAAATTCGTTTCATTGTGTTTTTTGTTTTTGTTTTTTTTTTTTTTTTTTTTTCCAATTTCTATGACAACAAATGGTGAAATGGGTAGAACAAATAAATAAATAAACAAATGGAGTACTTCATTGTACTTTTGTACTTTTTAAAAACAAATTCAACAATAAGATTTCTACATGAAACACAGCATTGTACTTTGATTATTAACTTAATGATTATTATATTAAAAAAAAATAACAAAAAATTATCAAAATTTAACCATAAAAAAAGAAAAAAAAATAAGAAATCAAATTTCGACATAGATGTTTAAAATCAAGTAATCAACCGATAAATATATCTCAGTTGTACAACATAGTCAACACAATTTCTTATATGGACTCAGTTCACATTAATATATTGTGGACCACTAACATTAGAGACACTATGATTGTTTTATTAATTAAAAAAAAGGTCACTATATTAAAATAAAGGTTATTATGTTGAATTAAAAGTCATTGTGACATTATAAAAGCTATAAGAGGTTGATTTTTTTTAATGAAATTTTTAATAACATTAAAGGTCATACAAGTTTTAATAAAGGTTATTATGTTAAAAATAAGGTTACTCTGTTAAAACTACGATTACTATGTTCAATATAACGTCAGTTCCGCGTGTATATAAACCTCAGGTCCACAATAATTTAGCATTAGCAAAAAAGTCCTACAATTTCGGCGCCTTATTGTTGTTGTCTGTGGTCTAGTACAAGAAAGGGTGGCACACTTGTATTAGCCTATATTAGGAGCTAACTTAGCATTTTATCAAACTTCAATTAATCAAATAATGCTACTTCTTTTTATATTGTTTTATTTATAGTCTCGAGATTAGATCTGATCTCCCATATTGGAATAAGCAAAATTCCCAAATAATTTCACTTTCAAGTAGCTCCTGAATTCAAAGCTATAACTAACGTACCTATAGTAATTAGCATCATTTGGCAAACTAATACTCCAAGTCTCCAACACATGTCAAAATAGAAGAAATCGTGTATATATATATATTATATATATATATATATATATATATATATATATATATATATATATATATATATAACGGCTTATTAAATATGTCTTAATTAAAGTTATTTTGTTTAGAACACTGTTCCTTTTCTTCTGTTAATTATTCTGAAACTTTTCATCATTAATACAACCTTATGGTATAATTTACAAGAGTAGTAACTCTGAAAATAGTATTACTCTGTAGTAAACATCTAACATATATACTTTCATTGTATCGCATCCAACATAAATTGCATCCAAATTTATGTCTATTTTTTCTTTGTGATGATTCATTATGTTACGTTTTGCCATTTTTTCAACCCTAGACATGCTAATTAATTTTAACCATAAATGAAATTTTGGATCAATTTCAAGTTTTCCTTAATCTTCTCTGAATATATATCTCTTTTATTCTTCCTATTGTCAAAGTTGGTAGAGAGAAGGTGGCTTTCAGTTAAGGAAGTGATGTACATGAGAATGTTACAATTATTAACTCCTTAGAATTGATATGTCAAGTAGCATATTAATTTCATCTTCTTGGAAGTGAGATTGAGGGAACTATTTATTTTGACATCAAAACAAATAATCACTCGTTGTTGACTTATTTATCAATCAATCAATCAAAACCTTAATCCCATAAGTAGGGTCGCTACATGAATCAAAATTGATTATTCCGTGTAGTCATCCACAAAGATCTTCCTCCTCCATCCCTTACGATCCAATGCTTCATCCTCGTACAAATCCATATACTTCATATCCTTCCTAACTCCTTCCAACCAAGTCATTTTCATCAAGATTACATCAGTCTTAATTGATTGTCACAAGTTAAATACTACCTCCATTTCATATTATTTGCAACGACTAGACATTTTTTGCTCGCGCTTTATATAAAATCGTTGCAAATAATATAAAAATGGAGGTTAGTACCATACATCCAAAGACTACTTGAAAAATAAATCCAAAGAGTGTAGATGAAATTTGAGACCTAAACTCATAATGGAAGTTTAAGTACCTAGATGAATTTAGACCATTTTGCATCAGGAATGATCTAAAAAGTAAATGATTAAGCTTGAGTTTTTTGAGATGGGTCTGGACCATATTCATTGACGAGACAAGTTTCCAACTTTTAGTCTCATCTTTTTCAACGTGGGACAACTTATAATGTGCATTTTCACATGGATATATAACTATAATAATATCGATAAAAGTTCTTGTAGCAGTACAATTTACAAACATTGTGGATGACAAGATGTCATTAGTAGGTTATGTAATACTCATCTTACTTTGAATTATTTCAGAGAAGAAAAAAAAACTGTAAGGACAACTCAAAAACTTTAGTTGATTAAGTATCAAAATTATGCGCAAACATAAGATCGAATCTTGTTTATACCATCATACACTGAACTTTTGAAATTTGTTATGACTATGCATAACCACTTTAAGCCAAGATCATTAGATCAACAACTGACTGAAATGAACAAGTTACTTATAACATTGCCTTCTACGTGAAAATTGAAATATGGGGGCTGAGGAAACAATATCAAGATGGAAATTTTTATCTTCTTGTCATGTAGTGTGTAGAATAAAAATTAAAGTTGAAATTTTATTATGGAGATTCAAAGACGTAAATCACTGATTAAAGTTTGATAGAGGTACTTTAATGTAATTTAATCAAACTTTGATCACCAACCCAAATACCTTCTTTTTTTGGATTGTAATTTAATACCTTCTTGAGTCATTAGATTAAATATTTTACTTTGAATATAATGTTTACTTTTAATTTAAAAAAATAAAGTATACTTTGAACCTTTTTTCTTTTCTTTTCTTTTTTTTTTTTTTTACATAAGAGACCCATCATTATTATAAATGAATCCCTATTACATGCTCCGTGAGAATATAGGATTAATTTTGCAATGATACATATATATAATGATTTAAAGGTTCATCAACATTTTTTCCATTCCAAAATCTGAGCTACGTAGTCGCGTTTTGTTACTAATGAAACGTCAACTTTTAACGTTTTTTTTAAAAAAGAAGATGATAAGTAATTAAACGTAATTAATGCTAGTCACATAAATGAAAATGATGAGAGTTAACTAATTGTATATACAAACAGTGGCGGACTTGGGCTTAGACCTGGTGGGTCAAGTGACTCACCAGGCCCAAAAAAAAAATTTTAAGTTATTTAAAAAAAAAAAAAAAAAATTAAAATCAGTTAGAGGAGACTTCAAGCCCTAGCCTTCTTCTCTTTGTGCACATTTTCCCCTCAACTTTTCATCCTCTCTCGTAGCCGCCGGTAACCCCTGCTCCGCTCTGACCACACTGCTGCCGCCATTTTCGATTTTTCTACTGGCTAAAATTGTTGTGATTTATATTCACGGAAAAGGTTAGAATACTTTATAGTTTGGATTTGATATCTTATTCTCTAATTTTGCTTTAATACAATCTAATGATTCTTGGTGTTTATTAAGGGAGTATTGTTTTGTGACACAATTATGATTTTTGGGTTTGTTTTACTTGCTAACTACCCTGTACATTACAAATATGATTATTACTTTGCAAATGATTATAAATTTTAATCAATAGGTAAAGCATAGATTGTATATATGGTAGTTATTAAAAAAATATGTTGAGTTGCGAAATGTTAGAATGTGGAAAATGAATTTGTAGGTTGTAATTCAAATAGTAAATTTAACTATGGTACTGAACTTTGATTTTCTGTAATTGGTCGATTTGATCTTATATTCGAATCCCCATTTCAAATTTTTTGGATCCGCCATTGAATTTACTCATCATATGAGAAGTATATTTATTAATTTGATGCAAAATAGTATACTGTACTTGTGAAAACATATACATTTAGAATTTAGAGAGTACTTTTTGCATTGCAATTTGCAAGTGATGATGTTTTGGTGTGCAACTATGTACTTTAAGAGAAATAATTTGCAAAGGCTAAAGGTGTGAAATTTTAATTTTATAATAGCAAAAAAATTTCCAAAATTGTGTTTTGTGTAATTGAAATCTCTTGAACTTATTAGTTATTACTTATGTGAAATCTGTTTTGTGTAATTGTGTTTTGTGTAATATGTTTATGTGATTATGTCATTATGTGAAATTGCTTGATTTAGACCATTTAGTTGAATATTTATTCAAATAATTTTTCTGGGGAATATTGCTTGATTTAGTTCAATATTTATTCAAATTTCAGAATGAAGAGAAAACATACTCCAAATGAAATGCAAAACATTACTAGCTTCTTTGCTAAAAAGAATCCTACTCCAACTTCTCTTCCACATCCAACACAAAATGAACAAACTATAACTCCACCTCAAGAAAGTGAGCAACTTTCATCTCCATCTCATTATTCAACTCAAAATTCCCCTCAAAATGAACAAGGCCAATGTTCTCCTAATGCCCCAATCTTTGGAGAAAGATTAAGTGAACATGAATTTGCTAATCTTCCACAAGATCCAGGAAAGAGGAGAAAAATGAGTCAATTTCATAAAGATGATAGAGATTTAGTGAGAAGAGTTTACATTCAAAGAAAGCCTTGTCAGCCCAAAGACTTTACATTTCCTCAAACTTCTATTTTTGGCAAAAATCGTCGCTTTTGTGCTAAGTGGTTTGATACTTGGACCTGGCTTGAGTATAGTGTGGAAAAGGATGCTGCCTATTGTTTCCCTTGTTATCTATTCAAGGATGAAAATGCCTTTGGAGGTGATGCTTTTGTTAGTGATGGTTTCAAATCATGGAATCGATCGGATTTAATAAGAAAACATGTCGGTAAACACTTGAGTGCACATAATAATGCTGTTTTAGCTATGGATTTGTTCAAGAAACAAAATTCAAGCATCACACAAGCCTTAACAAAACAAACCGCTGAGAGTACAAATGCATATAGGACGCGACTTGAAGCTTCAATTGAATCTATCCAATGGCTTTTACTCCAAGGGTTGCCTTTCCGTGGTCATGATGAAAAAGAAAGTTCCTTAAGAAGAGGTAACTTTCTTTCACTTTTATCCCTTATTTCCAAAGGTAATCCTGAATATTCTAAAGTTGTTTTTCAAAAATGCTCCTAGTAATTGTCAACTTACTTCTCCTAAAGTCCAAAAAGATATCATAAATGCATGTGCAAAAGAGACCACTAAAGCAATGCTTGAAGATATTGATGGTGGTTTATTTTCTATTCTTGCTGATGAGTCCGCTGATGTTTCTGACAAGGAACAATTGGCTCTTTGTTTGAGATATGTTAATAGAAAGGGAGAAGTGTGTGAGCGTTTACTTGGTATTGTGCATGTTGTAAACACTGCTTCTTTGACTCTCAAAACTGCTATTGAATCCTTATTAATGGAGCATTCTTTGTCTTTCTCTCAAGTACGGGTCAGGGTTATGATGGGGCAAGTAATATGCAAGGTTCTATTAATGGCCTTAGGACTCTTATAGAGAATGAGTGTAAAGAAGCTTATTTTGTCCACTGCTTTGCTCACCAACTTCAATTAACTCAAGTTGCACTTGCTAAAAAGAATTCAGATTTGTGCTTGGTTATTTGTTGATGTACTTGCACCTCTCTTGAATTTTGTGGGGGGTTCACCAAAAAGGAAAGAGTTTCTTCGTGAAAATCAAGCTCAAAGAGTGGTGGATGCATTGTCTCTAGGTGAACTTGAGACGGGTTCAGGTTTAAATCAAGAACGTGGATTAGGTAGACCTTGTGATACTCGTTGGGGATCTCACTTCAAGACAATCTTGAATGTACTTGATTTATTCCCTGTAATCCTTGGTTCTCTTGAGGATATTGCAAAAGTATCTGATACAATAGATTCTAATAGAGCTCAAACACTTACAAATCTTCTGATGTCCTTTGATTTTGTGTTCGTGGCACACTTGATGGTTAGTATATTTGCGATAACAAATGCTTTGAATGTGGCCTTACAAAAGCACGATCAAGACATTGTGAATGCAATGGCCATGGTTAATGTAACCAAGACTAATTTGCAAAAAATGAGAGATGAAGGATGGGATTCTCATATGGAAAAGGTAATTTCTTTTATTGGTGACTATGACATTGCAGTTCCAGATATGGAGGCTAAATATGTTGTTCCCGGGAGGAGGTTGTTTAGAGGTAAATGCCCACAAGTGTCTAATCTACATCATTTTCGAGTTGAAGTTTTTTTTGGTGTCATTGATCTTCAATTGCAAGAACTTGAAAATCGATTTCCCGAAATAACTAAAGAACTACTTGTGTGTATGTCTTGTTTGAGTCCTGTGGATCGTTTTTCTAAGTTTCATAAGGAAAAATTGATTAAGCTTGCAAAATTCTATCCTAATGAATTTCCAAGTTCAGAATTGATAGTCTTTGGTCATACACTTGATAGTTACATTTGTTCTGTTAGAGGAGATGAAAGGTTTTGGAATTTGAAGGGTCTTAGTGATCTTTCAATCAAATTGGTTGAAACGGGATTGTCTGAAACTCATGATAGGGTCTATTTACTTTTGAAGTTGGTGTTGCTTCTTCCTGTCGCAACGACAAGTGTGGAAAGAGTATTTTCTGGCATGAAGCAAGTGAAAGACAAACTACGAAATAGCATGGGAGATCAAATGTTGAATGATTGTTTAATTACTTATTTGGAGAATGATTTGTTTTTGAATGTTAGCATGGAAGATATCATGAATCGATATCAAAACATGAAAACTCGTCGAGAACTATTGTAATAAGTTTGCATTACTATTTAGTTGTCTTTTGTAGTATTATATGAACATTTGGTTGTATTTTGTACTGTTTGAATATTTGGATGTATTTTTTAGTACTATTATTTGGTTGTTGGTAAATTTTTTTTTTTACATATTTGATTATCGATTGTGACTCACCAGTCGGAAAATCCTGGGTCCGCCACTGTATACAAAAACAAGCCTCTACCTATACTAGGCAAAGACCCCTAGCTCCTTTTATCCTTTAATAGTTTAGACAAAGACTACTCGATTAATTTTGGTCACACGATGCCAAAGTGAAGATTTAGGGTAATTGCAAACTACTTACTTTTTTATGTTTACATCTATTGACTATTAACTTAAGTGATGTAAAATCACCCATGAAAACTAGAATTAACATAACACAAACACGCGATACAGACTCTTATTATTTTATACGATATCTTAGAGCACTCTCAATGGTGAGAGTTTTTTTAGCTCATGAACATTTTTTGTGAGGAAAAAAAATGCTCACAACTCACAATGGTGAGTAAAATGAAAAATAGGTAAAAATGCTCATGAGCATTTATTAAAAAGCTCAAAAGTTGAGCATTTTTTGCCATGAACAGTGTTGCAAGTGGGCCCCACACGCGTCAGAAAAAAAAAAAGCTGACTCTAACATCAAAACGACGCGTTTTGATGAAGCTGCCTCAAAGGCGCGCCTCAAAACGCGTCGTTTTGAGTATCAGAAAAAAAAAAAAAGGGAAGCTGACGCGTGCAGTTCGCTGGCGAATGAGGACGCGACACGTGGCAGCTGGCAGCAAGACAACCAATCAGAAAATACTAGCCGTTTTACAACGGTTATTTATGTATTTCCCATTTTCAGAAAAATATATTTTGTAAAAAAAAAAAAAAAAAATTACCAACGGTCATAAAATTAAATTCTCTATAAATAGACATGCATTTTGATATATTTTGATACAATTTCAAAAACACCTTAAAATCCTCCAAATTTTAATTTTCTTAAAAGTATTTTAATTTTGTAGAAGAATATTGCTATTGCAATTCATCCATATTGAGGTAAAAAAAAAATATTTAATTTTTAAAATCAGTTAAATATAAGTAGTATATTATATGTGATTTTTTTTAAAAAAAATAAAATATTTTAGGCCATGTAATTATATTTGCAATATGTAATTATTAAGAAAGTTGTTTATATTTTGTCCATAAATTTCTGAATTTGTTGTTGCAATTAATTAATGGTAAATTTTTGTTGCTATATATAAATGTATTAACTTAATAAAATTAGTATATATGTGATTTTATTGAAAAAAAAAAATTATAGGCCACGAAATTATATTGCATTATGTACATGTTCTTAAAGTGTTGCAAGTATTGGTTAATTATTTTCTTTAACATGTACCTGTAGTTATGTGTTAAAATTAGTATATATGTTATTTTGTATGGCATGTAATGTTATTGCATTATGCAATTGAAGAAAGTTGTTGATATTTTTTTGGATTTGTTATCATTTTAATTTGTTTTTTGAGTAAATGTTTGTAACGATATTGATCTTTTGTTTTTTGGTGCAGAATATTTTAATGGATCCAAACAACCCAAATTTCCGTCAACAACTTTCGGGTTTTAGTGATGATTTCCTAACTAATCCCGAGTTTCAGTTGTTCTTGCAAAGAATGGGCAATATGTCGACGCAACCACCTCCACTGCATCAGACACCCACTGAGGTTCCCCAACAAAACCCTGCTAATGAAGATCGTACACCTGAAACTGATCTTGGTAGTAACACACTATTTCGATGAGAGCGAAGAGGAAAGCGTACCAGAGACGCCGCAGTATCCTCCTCCACCAGTGCGCTTGTTGGAACCCAACCAGGTTCCTACACGAGTTACCCGTATTTGGTCTGTGGCGGAAGATGAAGCTCTGATTGGGTTGTACTTGCAGATTAGCGAGTTGTGTGGTTAATCTCAATGTAAGATGTACACTTGTATTCTGATTTTCCAATATTGAATGACAAGTTGTTTAACAAGTTGATTTAAGTTTCCATACCGACATAATTACAATAAATCTTCGTCATTGTGTAGTCACATTTTTCTGATTTCACTTTATCAGAATGCTTTACCTTTGTGTCATTGATACCGACATAATTACAATAAATCTTTGTCATTGTGTAGTCACATTTTTCTGATTTCACTTTATCAGAATGCTTTACCTTTGTGTCATTGATACCGACATTATTGCACTCAAGACTTGTCACTGTCAACTAGCATAGTATACCTATTCCGTGGTTGAAAATTTAATTCCTGTACTTGGTGTGGTCAATCAGATTTGTAACCACATATTCATTTGATATTTTTGCTATATATAGTAGACATGGCACATATCCACAACCACACCCCTTCATCAAATAACAATAGTAATACGAGATGTATTCTAGACCATCATCAAGCTCAAGTTCAAGCTCATCTTCTTCAAATACTGAAGAATATGACCAACTTGTTGATGAACTCTTCACATACCAACCCCCATCTGTCCTCATGCCCCAAACACAATCCCAACACTCTTCAAAAAAACCTAGAGGGGGTACGAATAGAAGAGATAGGGAAATTGGACATGCCAGGTTGTTTAATGATTACTTTTCCGATAATCCCGTGTACAACACCACCCAATTTAGAAGAAGATTTCGTATGCAACGACCTTTGTTTGTACGTATAATGAACAAGGTCGTTGAAGGTGATGTGTACTTCCAGCAGCGTAGGGATGCAGCTGGAAGGTTAGGTTTATCACCTCTGCAAAAATGTACAGCAGCGATAAGAATGTTAGGCTACGGCATGGCTGCGGACGCCGTGGATGAATACGTTCGGACCAGTGAGTCAACTGCTCGAGTTGCTCTTCAACGTTTTTGTACCGGGGTCATTAATCAGTTCGGAACCGAGTACATGCGAAACCCTACAACTGCTGAATTGGCCAGAATTATGCATCAAAATGAACTGCGTGGATTTCCAGGCATGATAGGCAGCATTGATTGCATGCATTGGGAATGGAAGAACTGTCCAACGGCATGGAAAGCGCAGTACGCCGGTAGGAACAAGAAAGCAACGCTAATACTGGAAGCCGTTGCAGATCAGGATTTATGGATATGGCATTCCTTCTTTGGGATTCCTGGATCTTGTAATGACCTAAATGTCTTATACCGTTCCCCAGTGTTCGATGAGGTTCTGCATGGTCGAGCTCCTCCGGTAAATTTTACCGTTAACGGCCATGAATACAACATGGCATATTACTTAGCCGACGGTATTTATCCGAAGTGGGCAACTTTTGTTCAGGGTATCACAACCCCTCAACTTCAAAAAGATAAATTGTTCGCTGACCACCAGGCTGCTGCTCGAAAAGACGTTGAAAGAGCATTCGGTGTTTTGCAAGCTCGATTTGCAATAATACGAAAACCGTCACTGGCGTACGATGAGGACATACTGCGAGACATAATGAAAGCATGTATCATTATGCACAACATGATTGTTGAAGATGAGCGCCACAACTACACTCGAGCCGAAGTTCTAAGAGCCTTCTACGAAGAAGATCAACAAGAATCAACACCAGCATCAACATCTACAACGCCACCGTTTGAATTCAACGTAGGCCGACCTACCAACTTTGACTTCAACGCATTTCTACAGCGAAAAGCTTCCCTCCGTGACAGAGAAATTCATCTATCTCTGAAACGTGATTTAGTCGAACATATTTGGCAACGATACGGGCCCCGTAATTAGGGAGAAATTAGACGATGTAGTTGTGTTTTTTTTATTTCCTAAGTTTAATTGCGCATGACGTTGCAAATTAATTGTTCTCTAATATTGTACCGCTTTTAAAATAAATAAAAAATTATGAGCTTTTTTTTACAATTATTTATAATAACATAAATAATTTTACGATAAATTTTAACGATAAAAAAGAAAAAAAATAAAAAAAAATAAGTTACACATAATTAAACTAGTTTTTATTTATTTGGAGTAATGTTAAAATATAAATGAAATAAATAAATAAAGAAGTGTTGTGTAGGAGAGAGAAAGTTATGGTGGGGTATTGAAAAAGTAAGAGAGAGATAGTGGTGGGTGAGCATTTTTTTTGCTCACCATTGGGAGAGGAAATATGAAAAAAATTTGCCCATGAGCAAAATTGATTTGTTGAGAGAGAAAGTGGGTAGAGAGAGAGTGGGTGAGCATTTTTTTTGCTCACCATTGAGAGTGGTCTTATAGGCCAACTAAATAATTGTCCATAAAACTTGTACAAACCGTTCGTCAAAACTAAAAAAAGCAAAGTATACAAGAAAAGATAAAGAAAGAGAGTAGACTCAAAATAACTCTACCAAATTATGATAATGACTACCCTTCAAGCCATACACAACATCATATTCATATCCACGTACATACTCGGATGTCTACGGTACACTAATAAATAATCTAAATCTTCTAAATTATCTTACCAAACATACTTTATACATATATCGGGGTTATCTGTTGTATTATCATTGAAACAATTTTAAATCCTCTAAAATTTCTCACCATAAATAATCTATATGTGAGTAAATGACGGTAGAATATGTATAAGAAGGGTAATTTTTTATTTTTTTTTTTTATTTTTTTTTTTTTGAAAAAGAGAAGCTGTAAAATTAAATTAATGTGATTTAATTTTATTTCAAATCATCCCTAAAATGTGCTCCGTGGTAACCACACAAGATTGATGAAGGTATGAAGGACCTTACCTTATGACTCTGAGATCAAAAGTTTTGAGTTTTACCATATACTTACTTGAGAATGAAAATACTCTTAATTTACTTCCTACTCTGTTAAACTTGTATAGATAGTTTGATTAACTTATGAAAGATGCTAGTTCTATAAGAAAGAAAACTAAAAAACTAGAATATGAGAGGATGTAAAATTACATTCGATTATCGCTTTAAACGCTATACCAACATAGACCATTAGCACATATACGTACACGTATACACAAACTTTTTTTTTTATTTCCATTATTTGTATTGTGCCAAATTGCCAATCATCATCAACGAATGAGCGTGTAAGCAAGGTTCTTTATCACATGCGAAGGGCAGCTGCCACCCGGCCCACCCCAAGACGGGTGCTCTCCTATTCCTACTTCCCCAGGGCTGAGGGCATGTAGCTGCCACCCCAAGATGAGTGCTATCATATTCCTACTTCCCCAGGGTTGCCGATAGCACAGCTAAGGCAACGACAGGGGCTGCCTCATGACCATAGAAGGGATGAGAGAGCTATGCTTCCAGTGCTTTTCTCTAAAACGAACACAAAAGAATATGCAGTGTCCACGTGCACCTTTTAACCTTGAAATTAGAGATTCAATCTCCATTAATAACATTTTAATGATGGGAATCCTTTATCGTTCTCCTTTACTTTCAAAATATTTACCCACACAAGTATTAGATCAAAATAAGTATGAGAGTTAAGGTTTGATGACTCTGATCAGTGTTCTCCCTCCCATATAAGAGGATGCATCGTTAAATTACATTCAAATATCTTATTAAACACCATACACATAAAATGATACACAATTACACATAAACATACTCCTACACATACCACTCCATTCCCATTCCCCACTAATCAACATCATAATTAATCAAAAGAATATATAAAAATTTCATCACCTCCCCTTTTCCCCATTTCTACTTTCCCCTTTTCTCTCTCTCTCCTCTCTCCCCCACCCAACTTCCCTCCAAATTACACCCACCACCATTTCCAATGAACTAAACTCCCCTCAAATCACCATCATCATTACCTCATCAATGGCTTCCCCCATCTCAATTGGAGCTCCACAACCATGGCCCTCAACCTCCAAAACCTACAATTTCTGCTCCCAAGGTTGCTCCCTCAACTGCCCCCAATTATGCATCTTCCCCCCACCTCCTCCCCTTCTCCTCAACCCCAACATCATCTCCTCCGACGACTCCTCCGATGACTCCTCCTCCTCTCGCATCTCCCCATTAATGGCCGCTCTAATCGCCGTCCTCGCCGCCGCCTTCCTCCTCCTCTTCTACTTCACCGTCATCTCCAAGCTCTGCCGTCGCTCTCGCAACCGTCGCAGAATCAACCGATTTATCGACTCCGAAACCTCTGACCCACTCTCAAGAGTTGACTCGCTGATTCACGACCCAACTCGGCCGAACTCGTCCGCCTCAGGTCTCGACGACGCCTTTATTCGCCAGATCACGGTGTTTAAGTATCGGAGAGAGGATAAGTTAGTCGACGGCACGGAATGCGCCGTGTGTCTCACTGAGTTCAATGAGAATGAGAATCTACGGTTGATGCCTAACTGTGAGCATGCTTTCCATCTGCCTTGTATTGATACTTGGCTTAAGACTCACTCTAATTGCCCGCTCTGTCGGTCTACTATGAATTTAGCTCCGCCCCTTCGATCCTTCTCGGGTTCGGGTCCTGCTCCCAACTCCAACACGAACTCGAACTCGAACGCGGTTGGTGTTGCGGCGTTGCGGGTTGAGAGGAGGAGTAACGACGCCGTTTTGATGATCCGGGAGTTGGAAGGCCGGGTTCAAGTTTTGGAGGCTACGCAAGATGATGAGGTAGGAAGTGGTGGGTGTGGGAATTTTCAGGGGAGAGAAACAAAATTAGAAATTAATGATGATAATAATACTATTAGTAACAATACAGGTAATAATAATGATAATTCAAGATGAAAACAATTGAGTAGATTTTTTTTTTTTTTTTTTTTAATTTTGTATATTGATATGATTATTATTATTATTATTGCCTTATTGGTGATTAGAATTATTAACTCATATCATAAACTTATGAGTTGAGTTAAATATAGAGTTTGTTTGTTGTAAATTTTGCTACAAATGAAAGACGAATTTGAAGGATTTGTGAATCTTCATCTTGGTTTCATTTAGATTTAATTGAGGTGTTGCTATATTTGATTACACTATCAATGTGACATCTCCTTTATGTATATGATTTGCATTTTGAATTTGTGATTGCCGATTACATTCGGGTATGATCCAATTGACATGTCGCTACTTGCTAGTTTGAATTACACTATCAATGTGACTATCCATTATAAACGAATGGTGATATTCTAGTCTTTATAGTTAGCATTGTGATTGCGAAATGGAAGCATCTAAATTATGGGAGTTGGTTGGATTATTATTGATATTAATTAGAAAATAATGTAATCGGGGGTGAGATTTAATGATTGGAATGCTTAAATTACTGCTTAAAAGTCAAAATGAGTCACATGGATAGTTGGGCGGTTGTTGCAAAATAATTTTTCATGGATGATGAATTGATGAGACTAACATACATTTGTCCATAGTTTAATGGTGTTTACTTCCTTTTGTTTTGGGGTGGACTTGAAGTCTAGAACCATTTGTAAGCTTCTTTCTCTCTTTTCTTTATTAAAGAAAGAATTAGGTGCTCTTACTTTATCATTTACTTTTGTTTGTACTGAGAATCCATAAGTTGATCTTAATATGATAGTACGAAACTTGCACAATAGTGTCTCCCAACCAGCCGCGACCTAGCTGTGAGAGCGGCACTCTACCAACTGAGCTATATCCCTCCAAACCAAGTGGAGCTAGTTAGATGCTCGGTTCTTGAGGCTCTAGTGTAAAGTCGGATGAAGGAGGTTATATTTGTCACTTCTGCGATGATAGATATACAACTAATACAAATATTGTTCTTGCTGAGTTAGACCCTAGATTTTATTTTTTATTTTTTTAACATCCATAATCTAGCTAGATGTAAGAAATTCACTTTCAAAAAAGAAAAGTGTCTAGGTAATTCATTGCTTCATTTTCTTGAAAGCAATGCATAAAGAGTACATATTTATACCTTTCATAAAGTTTTCGAAACAAACACAAAATCAACTTGGATTGGACCCTAACATGTTGCTAGCCCTAGGCATTAGCGGTTAGTTACCAAAAAAATGTTGCTTTAATTTATATTTGTCAAAGATTGTTATACAACTATTGTCATCCGTGGATGCTAACTGGTGTCTTTTAACGTAGTGATGAAGCCTTGTAATCGAACAGAAACCGACTTCCCATCTTGTAAATAGAAGAATTCATTGACAATAACAAGAAGAACAATGACAAGCAGAAAAACCTCCATTGAAAATCCCACTTGTTATATGTAGGGTTAAAATCCCACTAATTTCAGCATTTGGTGTTACTGAAAATTTGTATACATTCTTTACGAAGAAGATATGATTCGTACACCGACATGTAATGTTTTTGCTGCTGAAATCCGACATATCTTCAGTGCACAGGATACAGAAAGAGAAATGCACGTGGAATACTTGTACAAAATTGGGTGAAAAAAAATGGAGCCTATAAAGGTTAATTTGTAAAAATGGAATTTGGTTGGTGGGACATTCGACAGGAATTTTGGACTTGGGAGTGAAATGTTGGTTTGAGAAATCTTGTTTCATGATAGTTGAGTTTATTTTGACTAATATAAAATATTAAAAATGCATTATCATGTACTAATAAATATGTTTTTGTAAAAATCTCAAAATATTATAACGAAAACATAAAAAAAAAATCTCTTCCCTTTTCTTTCAAATAAAAAAAAATCTTAACAACATTATTTTTTTTGACAAAACTATAATAACAACATAATTAATGAAAAAGTTGACAAATTGTGTACTACTCCGTATAGTCTTATGAGTCGTATTAGGAAAGTGAGGAAGTTCAGACTTCAGAGTATATTATGAGTCCAAATTGAGTTTGTTGCATTAGTTTACTGTTTACTTGCAATTAGTACATTGTGTTTCAATTATTGTACTCCGTAATTCAATTAAACTTTATGAACCCCAATATATGATGAAGACGCTAAATTAAGGGTGAAAAGCCGTCAAAGCAAGTATTCACCAAGCATAACTTGTCAACCCGACCAAAGGAATCAAATTATTCACACCTCCATTTCTAAACTAGACATATTACTCCCTACATTATACTCCCTCTCAACACTCACTCCTAAACAATTTATGAGTGAATTCAGCAATTAAAAAAATAAATAAATAAATAAAAATTGCAAAGTATAAATTACAGAGTAAATGCAACACATTATTTTTCATTACGGAGTATCATTTATATATAACCATACATCATATACAATAAAAAAATTAACACCAAGGCAAAAAGACGACGTAAGATATCAAAAATAAAACATCACTTTCTAATATGTACGGGATAGTATAAATGTGGTTTCAATGTTACAGAACATTAATCTACAAATGTATATTCAATATGATTATTCCTTTTTTTCTCTAGAAAAAATGGACAAACATAGTAAATAATAAATACAAAATTTTGACTAGAGTTACATTAAAATACAAGCATTCACATGAAATATCAATTCTTCATGCACAAACTGCTGTAATTGGCTCTTGATTTGTATAATTTCAAATTTTGTGACTTATAATTGTCCTTTCCCTTTTCTTCGATCATCCAGAGCCTACATTATTATAAATAATTTTAGAAAATATATTATCATATACAGCGAAAACTATGCTGAAATTAATGTAAATAAATACTTCAACATTAAAAATTACTGGTACACAATCTACACACAAATTAAAAGCTGCAAACTAGTACATTTGGAAGTTTATTTTTAAGAAAAGCAAGCAAGCCAGCAAATCCTAGTGATATGTCATTACTCACATAATCTTTCTATCCTAATTCTTTAATTGTGTTACTTATACTAATTAAATTATATTATTAAAGTGATAGAGAAGTAATCATGGTTTGAAAAGCGATTCAGTGAGTTATTTCCAGCAACAGGTAAGAAAAGGAAAAGCTACTTTCTGTCTATATTCTGTTCTATACTTTATAGAGAACAATCACACAGGAGTACAGAAGTCAGGATAGAAGTTCACTAGCACATTTCTAAAATAGCTTTTCCTTGCGGGTATTTAGGACACGTAGTTAAGTACTTATGTCGGAAATTCAACATTTCGACATGGGTACACTGGTACAGACTCGTTATAGTCACTTGACGCTTCATTTTGGATTAGAAATCTACAAGTCTCTAACATTCTCATAAAGTGACTAAATTGTACTGGCAGAATGTCAGTAGTCAGCACTTAATTTGTGTTTATTTATGGAGTATACTGAAAAGAAAAGAAAAAAAATGATAATTTTAGGCATTACAGATTTATGAAGGGGAAAGCTTGCTAGTGATTTAGAGAGTAAATTTCTCCTGAACTTCCTCAAATTTCAAATAAAATTTTAGGGACATCAAAACTATGTGAAGATAACAAAGCAGCAAACATAAACAAAACACCGAAATGACAATGCAGCAAATTGACACATCAATTCTACATCATTCTCATAAATGAAAGAAAAAAGATTACCTTGCTCTGGAACATTCTTATAGTCAACACAAGAGTGTCACGCATTCTGTAGCAAATCAAAAATTTATATATGACATCAGAAATAAAAACATCACAAGTAACTTCTGTTTCACAGTAACTATAAATTGCAGACAAACAAACACATACTGCTTCACGTGATGTTTCAGACTACATAAAATTTTTAGGAAGGAAAGAAAGAAGCAGAGGACATTGTGCACCTCATTTGTGAACTCTACAATCACAAGTTCATGATTTTTAAATAAGCAGTTACTTCCTCTCCCTGGAATCAAGAGCCTCATAACTAGCATACTATTATAGGATATTTAGAGCTATTAGTAATGATTTATAATTGGAATTCCTAACTTGCCATTACTTTGAGTAATAGGTAGAAATAGCACGCGTCCAATTAAGAATATCAGAGATAGCTAGTATGATAAGATTCACACCCAGTTGACATGTTGTCTCATTTTGCAATTTTGGTCCACTGTCTTTAAAGACAAAATCTTATTATGAGGAACAAACATTAAAACCAAATTAACGGCATGCAAATTGCAAATAGATACTCAGATATTATGACATCAATTAAGAAAATCAAACTGCAAGAATGTTATATTACCTAATATCATTGTACGTGCTTAAAGGGTGTGAAGTTACATCCGAACATGTTAGAACAAACTGTGTTGACAATCCACCAGGAATCTTGATCTGCAGGAGCAACAACAGTGAAGTTATACATAGAATTACAAACAAGAACAAAGACAAGCCCAAAAAAAACCATTACTTATAAACAAGGACAAGTCAGAATTGATACTGGTAAGTTTTAAAAAAAAATTATTAAAAAAAAAAAAAGCATACAGTAACATCACAAGTCAAGGTATGGATTTTCGGCTCCAATTAGCTCATGATGTAACCCAGGAGGCTAATGCTGCAAAAGATGTGACTTTGGGAAGGTCCTAGAAGGAGCATGAAGATTTCTGGAAGAAAATATGAACCAATAAGTCTTCCTATGGTACTGTAATTTCTTTTAGAGAGTCGCTCATGATGTAATGGATACTGCTTGTTCAAGATGTAAGCAACATGAAACTTCGGACAAATGCTGCTTTTATGTGAAGACTGAAGAAGGCAAACTAACAAATTCATAACACAGCTAAATAGGCCAAAGAGATCTTTATCAAGGTGGAGCCGAAGGTTAAACTTGAGAGTTTGAGAGGCATAGTTCAGAAAAGTAATGCCTGGGATAGTGGGATTTAGGAAACAAACATGGTGACATTTACCTCAATGCTTGAAAGGGCTACGGATTTACTAAAGAAATACATAACTGAGCACGAAAAGGAAAAGGTAAAAGAAGTCATGGAACCCAATAATGCACATCAATATTCCGGCCAGTTATAATCACTTTTAGCATGGCATGAAAGACTTTTGATAATGATTTGTATTCATACCTCACAAGAAATGACTTAAGGTACAGCATAAACATTCTCAAGAGCAAGAAGTTGGGGAGGCTGTTCTTGAGTGGGTAGCTTAAGGAAGAAAGAGTGTTGTTAGAGACTTAGACTCAAAGGAAGGTACAGCTGAGATATTTTCTTTTGTAAATCATTTATTGTATAAGCGTAATCTAAATCCCTATCTCAATAAATAAAGAATGAAAAACCTGCAGAGTGCTAGAGCCTCCAGACTACAGATATGTTCTGTCCTAAATTTGTGCTGGTCTCAAGAGAGAACAATAAAAATTAAAATGTTGCAGCTATATTTCACAAGTTGGAACACCTAAATGCAAAAATTGGTAATAAGTCATATACAATGACTGGATTGCAGATACACAGCTTTTTATTTGACGTGAACCGCAAGCTCATCTGTCTATCTAGCCTTATAAACAACAGGAGTTCCCTTTTCTTTGGAGGAGGTCTATGAAAAGTGCATGTATCCAACATACCGATAAGTTCTCTGAGAATTCATCAGCAATTTGAAGAGCTCCTGTTTTATTGATCTTTACTTGAAAACCTGAGCGCCGTAAAATAAAAGTTGCTGGTTCCCAGTGATTAAATGAATCCAACTGCTTGACAAGCAATACAAAAATATGTATCACTTCACAGTCTATAAGCCTTAAAAATGTTATAATACAACATGAATTGGTCAGATATGATTTAGAAGGCATAGACAATGTATTTCAAGCATGAAGTAATTTCTTTTCCTTTATTGTATACATTGGGTAGATTAATATATTTCTAAAAAAAATGGCTAGATCACCTCAGATCCTATTCAAAATCAACACAAATAGAAGCCACCCCTTACCTAAATGGTCACTTGAATAAATTACCTCATGTGTCGTCCAATAAAACTTCACCCTGATTTTTCAAATTTTTCTCTACTGTAGTTATTTACTTTTCAGCTAGAATATATTAAAGATCAATCTCTACGTAGAGGAAAAATAAGTTGTTCTGCACAGAAGCCTTTATTTAAAATAAGAATAAAAAGAAAAAGGAATTTTAAT